AGGAGGGTGGGGAGGCTGCCCGGGTGGGCATCCCCCGTTGAGCTGTCTCCTGGTCTGGGGAAGGGACACTGCCCGAGGGTGCCCCCCACACGCAGCCCCCTCTAATACTCGCCTTTGTAGAGAGTTTAGCAATCAGATGCGTCATTTTAAATAAGGTTTCTACTTGTAAATAAATGGTATTTTTCTCCCAATGGTGGCTTCGTGAGCAGTGCTGGCGTCCCGCATGGGCCTTTGCGTGCCTCCTTGGGTTCGTGGGGACGTAACTTCTTGGCAGGTGAGAACAGGGTCGCAGCTTGGTTTCCAGGGCCGGAGGGAATGCGTCTGAGCCAGGCTTAACTCAGGGAGTGAATGCCCTCCATTCTCGCTTTGTAGGGCTGGAGGGAGCGTTGGGAGGGAAGGGAAGGGAAGTCCCTCTGGCCTTGGGCAAAAGGCATTTTCCACAGGGCTTGGCTTCCCTGCCACTTTAAACAGACCCTTGAACAGAATAAAGGGGGCATGGGCTACTGCCTCTTCCTTGTGTCAGAAATCCCACAGGATCCGTTTGCACAAGGGGCTTTGCCAACATAGTTCACAAGTGCTCCTTCACACATTGCTTGTGTCCCACGTGGCTCTGCCTCTTGTCCATGAAGCACTTTGGTTAGTCCTTGCCTCTTCCTTTACCTGAGAGACTGACTCTTCCTCCACAAATGTCTGGGGCCTTCCTTTCCCAACAGCCCCTGGGCCCTGGGATGCCGGGGGTCCTGGGAAGAGCAGGAGGTGGAAAGGAGGACCCTCCTGGTCATGAAGAAGGGTTTGGGAGCCTTCTCGGTTTCAAAGCAAGATTGGGAGGGAGGCAAATGGCCAGGCACCCATCCTGCACTGAGGCCCACACAGCCTCCAGGATTTCAGGAGGGTTACAGCTTCCCCAGTAAAACTGTCAAGCGCCACACAGATACAGAAAGAAAAATGGCCCATGCATTCAAAACAGACTTGTCTGCAGATTTTATTTAAAACGGGGCTCTCTGGGGTTCAGAGCCATGGAAGGAGTTTAAAACCCCAGGGATTTGGGTATTTCCCACAGCTCCCTTTTC